TATCTTATCTTATCTTATCTTATCTTATCTTATCTTATCTTATCTTATCTTATCTTATCTTATCTTATCTTAAATCCAAGATCTGGTAGGTTTTGTGGATATTAGCAAAAGATTAATCACAATTAATCATGACATTTAGCTGATGACTAGAGTTCCTGGACTCCGGCACATCTTCGCCAAACAAACAGAAAACYCCTAAACTCTTTACTGACTGATGCCAGAAATAATTTGACAAGCACCAAAAAATCTGCAAAAAGAAGAAGRAGAAAAGGTGACAGCGATGATGGAGAGAAGGCGAGAGCGGGAGTGAGCGATGACATAGATTTATGATATTTAGTGTCTGGATTTTATAGTCAGGATGTAATTCAGTGTATCTAGTGTTTAGTTTAATCCGTTTTAGTGTCTGAGTCAAAACAACGAGGAGAACTTTGAATGAAGATGAGCGCCGAGTGGACTAATGGAAAAATCCCCGGTCAGTCAGGCACAAATTGTATTAATCGTAAAGTGCCAAATTAAAAAATGAATTRACGTATTTATTYGTGTATAATACAACCTCATGTAWAATAYGACACCCCCCACCCCCATTTTTAGCCTAAAAAGCATAAAAAATGTTATTTTCATACTACCTCTAATTTCGTACGGACTTCAGGATTTTTCATCATTTGGCATCAGAATCCCACTCAACAACAATCTCATCCTCTGTGTCTCAAGAGTTCCCCCTCTGGTGGGGAAACTTTTTTCAGGTAGACCAACTTTTACAGAACACCGGTAGATGGCAGCCATTACAGACGACCATGTGCTTGTTGTTGTTTCAGGAGCGGCCCGATCGCACATTAATATCAATAGTTTGTTATGCAGGACTGCATTTTTTTCTTTTTTTTTTTCACATCATGTTGCCTGCTTGGATCTGCTACTATCTCACTCAGAGGCACAAAGGAGTGTTAGAGGTAAAATCGCTTCCACTGCTTTTTACGATGTGGTTTCATTTCTGGACTCTGGGATTTTGTGAATGAGGCTGATATTTCACTTAAAATACATCAACAAAAATATTTATTCGAGTATAGTCCTACCCCACAACTTTGTGCATGATTTTATGGATTAAATTTTACGTATTATACTTGAATAAATACGGTAAGTTCGTAAAG